CTAACTATTAGTATCCCAGAGCCAAAAACGACGTATTTAAAATATGCAGCACTATTTTAAAAATTTGGTTATTCAGCGCAAAGAGATATCTCACAAAACGCCTAGAGTTTATTATTTACAATAAAACGCTTTATAGTTTTACCCCGGAAGAAGAAACTGCCTTTGCCAAGACCGCTCCAGTGGTGTTTGCTTCCGAAACTACGCAAGTAAAATGAAAATTTAAAAAGTATTACGGACATAAAATATAATACTTACCGCGAAGTGATTGTCTGACATAAAAACGTTTAAAGTAAGAGGTTTTACGTTTGCAAAGTTTCGCAGAGTTTAGGCAAATAATGTTGATTTAGTGAAAATCTTCCTGATTTTAATCATGCGTCGCTTGGAGTTTGACAACTAAGTACGAGTATGATAATTGAAAGTTTCTGGAATTGGCCATTTGCAATTTATACCTTTATTAGGTAGATATTAGGAAATAATTACGGTCAAACTTTCCAGTTAATAATATAATTCAAATTACGTCATCGCGTCTATTGAGCCTCAATGACAGGTCGCATAATAAACAAACCAACACAATTTGAGAGTTTACCTACTATACTATACATTTCTAACTCCATTGTATTAGCAGAACAGTACCAAGTCGAATCAATCTTATAATAATTACCTCAAAAACATTTAGCTTCCCTTTTCCCGAAGTGCTATTAACCAATCCCCGATCAAGTGGTTTCCAATCTATATTTACGAAACTAATCACTCCTAGGAGGTCTAAATAAGTCACTAGAGTCTAACGAAAGCTACAACCCGGAGAACTAAATTTGCTTGAGCCACAATTAGGCTCAGATCTGACGAGTGCGAAATCCCATACTCGTATTCTTCTGTAGGATACCGTGGTCACAACGAAAGACAAGACAGTAGGATCTGCCAGAGGTTAAATTTTAAAATCTGCTAAATATTTTGGTTCTTGCACTAATTAGGCATTGTTTTTTTCGTAGTTGAGTAATAATCGAATTGGTGATCGTTTTGTCTAAATTACGTCCGAAACTTTCTCAAATACTTTACTTACTTTCTATGTAGTACACAAATAATTTAGAAAAACATGAGTTAGAGTTAGTGTTTCTGTTAATGTAGGTCCTGAACTTTTATAGGTATTTCTCGAAATTATGTTATTTTTTGTATCAGACAAAATGCACCATTTCTCAGCACCAGTCGATCTGTTGTCCCTAATTGGTTGTTTTGTTAGATTGATTGGAATTATGTGTAAATGCCATGAAGCGCCTAATTTTTATTTTCACATAGATCTAAGACGATATGTAAATTTCAATTTTAAGACCAATCTCATGCTTGAGTTTGAGCTTGATTTTCAAATCAAATCAAATCAAAATCAAATTTCATAAACTAATCCTTAGTAGTTAGAACGTAACAAAATAGGACACGTAGAAATACCTTGACTAAGGAGCCAAGGCATTTCTACTTGTCCCTACTCGTATTTTGTGTCGTACCTTTTTGCGTCAATAATAAATACGCGTCCCGCAAAGGGATGGGTAATTGTTCTATTTGTTGCCTGGTGAGGAGGGTCCGTGACCACTCGACCTCAATTTATTTATTCGGAAGTGTCCGTGACTCGAACGTGTTGCGTGACATGCGAGTGACAACTGATTAGGATTCTGTCTATGAAAGACCGTGTCTATTTTTACCTATGACAGGTGAGGTAGCGTTTAAGCTTTGATCTTTGTGGTAGTTTTGCCCGTATTAAAAAACGATGCTTGCTTAAGTGAAGCAGCAAATCGAACACAGCGTTGAATAGAGCTCTGTGATTGGTTCATAATATGTCACCTTGTGCGTCCACGCGCACGTAACTTTATGTTCGTAATGATTAATGTAAGTGTTAATTACAAAATCCAAAATTAGTAGGTAGTTTATTATACTGCTGGACAAAGGCCTCCCCCAAGGATTTCCACAAAGACCGGTCCTGCGCCGCTTGCATCCAGGTACTTCCCGCGACCTTCACCAGATCGTCGGTCCACCTAGTGGGAGGCCTGCCCACGCTACGTCTTCCAGCTCGTGGTCGCCACTCAAGAACTTTTCTGCCCCAGCGGCCATCATCTCTTCGAGCTATGTGCCCCGCCCACTGCCACTTGATTTTAGCGATTCTTTGGACGTCTTTCGGCTGAAACGAACGAACGAACGAACGATATTATACTACGAGAAGGCATTTAATTTAATGTGGAAAATACTATTTTCTTGCGTGTCAATTCCGTCCAAATAATACTTTTATACTAATTGGTTTGATTTTATAATTCCGCTTCACTTCGACCACTATTTGATCCCACTGCACCTTTATAAGTATACCTTTATCCTCGCTAAAGCGTTTCACTTCAGCCCTGTATACGTGCTACGTTCACATTAAGCCCTTGGTAAATAAATCCACATGCAATATTGACTGACATTTATCTCCTTTCGACTCGCAATTAAGCTCCAATGTAAATCAAACATGAAATAGTCAAGTAGTTTTCGGAAATAGCGCAGAAATTGCTGGGAGCAAACAAAAATTTGAAAGTACCATCGAGCACCAGTGATTGGAGGGATATAAAACGAGTGTTTGCATTGGATGTCAAATTCAAATTNCGGCGGCGGCTGGCACGTGAGAGGGGGGTATCGACGAGCAGTAGCCACGCGTTTGCTTGTGTGCGTAAAGCATCAGACGTAAGAATTATAGCGAATAATCCGCTGTGACCCATGATCCGCTGTTACCCACTCTCCCCTAAGGGTCAATGATCTAGGTTATTTTAGTTCTTCTGATCTTCAGAATGGTATCCACGTTGTCTATGTATAATATTTAAATTAACTTACATTATCAAGGAAGTAGTCAACCTTTTCAATATCATCATTTAAATAATAATGACAATGAATAAATATTTTATTCAGTTTGGACTTTTTGATAAACAGTTTCAGTCAGGGTCAAATAGTAAGACCTACTGGCCAAAAAGTTCAAAACGCAACCTTTTGCCAACAAAGACACATTCTGAACTTTTTGGCTACCTTTGGTATCTCTAACTATTTGACGCTCACTGTATATTATGTTGTTGATGTACAGGGCTTGATAGCCTCACTTGTGTGTGGTGGGTTTAACCCATTAACGCCCATAGTGAAACCACGATATATTTTCATAATATTTTTTATTATTGCTACTGAATGGATTACAAGTAATCTATAAACACAAAAAAATATTTAAAAAAAATTAAAAACCTTGAAAAAAAACCCTGTACACAAGCGTGTACAATGGGCGGATCAGGTGAGAAATTTCCCGAAGCAAGGTCGCTCTACGCAAAGCGTTTTCATGCATTTAGAGCAACGCCAGTGCCCCTACTATGGCAAATAACACACCTAAGTGGGTTTACAATACGGTTATGCCCTCCATTGCTTGACTGTAAATATGATGTTGACGATGATGGCCGCGTCTTCGTTTTATTATTGGGTAAATACGATTTGGCAATAGATCGCCTAAAAGCCAATTGATCCAAGTACGTTGTGTTTTTGGTTTACACGGTAAGTACATATAAGCGCCATGCATTTGAGACCGCCATAATCCACTAGTTTGGGTGATTTCATGAGCAGTAGAAAAAATGGGTGATATTTTTCTCCACGTAGGATTTTCAGCAACTTCGTTACGAGCACGTTTTTGAGCCGGACCAAGGCTTGAAAGAGTTTTTTCATCGCTACTGACCCACTCCGTCTCTTCATCTGAAGGTTGGTGGCGTAATAGCTCGATAGTACCTGGTATATCTCAAAGTACCGAGGAAGTCAAATCATCTTATGCACCTTCTTCTTCATCACTAACAACAGCAGGATCAGGTGGTAAGATGATCAATTTGAGCTCTGTATCGTCATCTTCAGCTGTCATAATGGATTCGATGGCTTCCTCTAGTCTTGAAACTCGTTTTGAGATGATAAACGTTATCTATGTGACATCTTCAATTATCAACCAGGTCTTGAAAAAAACGTTTTTCTTAGTATACATTCACCCACTGTACACAAGCGTGTACACCAACATTCTTGAACAATTTTTGGTATGTTATATGTAAATATTTATTATTTTTTTAGCTTGTAATAATAATTTACAATGTAAACTTACCTTGAAACGTAGAATTGAATCAAATTATAGCTAAAATATATTATATTAGTATTATTTTACAACCGGCGCCAGTCACTTTGAGAAAAGGTCGGAAAAAAATGTTAATTAGACATTTATTTTTGCACCACCCTCCAACTTTTTTATATTTCGTACCTTGTATCGACATCTAGATTAGGTTTTATCAAGTAATTTGACTTAACATTAGAAGTTGCGTTCAGAAATAAACTTTAAAGAAGTGTACACACGTGTGTACAGAGGGCGTTAATGGGTTAAAAAGGTATAAAATATTAATTATCTCACTGACTATGACTATTTACTTAGGTACATACTTTTTACACATTCAATCAGATAACCTAGCGTCTAGTACACTTGAGGGCTTGAATTGCCTATTTCAACTTTTGTACCAAATTACGCATAAATATTCAATAACGTAGTTTAATCATGTACTAATTGTCACGTTCGGATTCTATTCATGTTTATAAATTAATGTAATTTTACATTTTGTGTTCTTATTTTCACTACTGTTCAACCATGTTCTATTTCTAAGTTTTTTAGGGGTTGGCCTGGGCATGGAAACGCGCATAGCATCGAATCTTATAATTAATATACAAAAGATAATAGATCAGTACTTGTGGCTTACATACCTACATAGATGAGGTAGTGGGTTGACCATAGTATAAAATAATACAATACATAATTTAGAATAAAAATATTCTATTTTTAAATTCTTCTTAAACAACATAATAATACATACTTTGTGCTATTTGTGCACAACAAAACAGTAATAAATTAGGCAACAGAGTTTAACAGGAGATCACTATACAAGAGAACCTATTTGCTTCCTAGAAAATTTCATCACTTATTGAAGATAGGCATAAAACAGATTCAATTTCGAGATCAATGCTCTCACTACAGCCAAAACCGTAACAGCCTTCTTAGGAATCTCAAGTCTGAGATTCCAAAACGTCTGAATGTTTATTTGAAAATCTAGAATACAAGCTTAAAATAATAACACTACTGGATAAACAAAGTTCAATACCCCACAGAGGCGTAAATACACTTATATAATACGATCATACAAACTGTCTATCCTGGCAAAAAAATGTTTTCGTAAACAAGTCACAAGACAAACAACAGGTATGATCTCATAAGATGATTAATATGTACTTAATTACGCATCCATCTTCTTATAAACAGCTTTCAAATGCTCGGTCAGAGGCGTCGTATCGGTTTCCATGTACAGCGTTATCTCCAACGTATCTTCGCTGACCAACTTGATGATACGCTTGAACTTCTTCACATGTGGTGGCTTGGCGAACGACATCCTAGTAACGTTGACAGTTTCTAGTACAATCTCCTTCTTCTCAGGATCACATTGGCCTTCTTCAAGTGATGTGAGACCAAAGTTGTGGCTTACCATAAACGCAAGCTCGTTGGTGCCGGGCTTGATTCGTAGGAATCCACGCTCCTGGTGCATCGGGGCTTGGGTCTCGGGATTGGTTGACTTTGACATAAAGTTGAACATTGGTTGACCTGAAATAAGAAGAATTTTTTTTTATAATTTTTATGTTTAATAGATCCTTTAAAAACATCCTAGAAATAAAAATTAAGAGATTGGCTAAAACATATAATTTACTTAATTTATTAAAAATCTTCGCTGAAGTTTTTAGTATATCTGAGGCATAGGCATTAACAATTTAAAAGTCTATGCATTATTTTTTTCTAAGTAGACAAAAGTAAGTTTCATTTAATTACCCTCAATAAATCTTTTTCCAAATTGATAATAATAGTACTGTTTTCTATCCAAGAATGCGCCGGCAAATAATTACAAAGAAGATTTCAGACATTATGATGCTTACCAATGCATGAAAATTCCAGCTCTTCATGATATTGAAAATCTTTAATATTTGGGAAGACTCCTCTTCCTTCTTTCGTGGTCCATCGGCCGGCAAGCCAGCACACTGGCTTCAAAGCTTCGTGGTTATCGCCTTGCATGATAATAAATTACGTATATTGGTATTTAAATCTTTTGAAATTAGCTGCCGGGCGGGCAAAAGAAAAATTGCGAAAGTCAGCAAAAAAAAATGCGAACGACGAACCGGCAAAAAGTGACAGCTGGCTGACAGACAGCGCGAGGAGGACATTAATAAAAAAAGTAAAATTAATTAAAGAAGCGCCATCTGTTATTACTTTTCTGCATTAAATATCAATTTTTTTTATTCCTATTTGCGTAATTTTAGTCAAGTTTTCAGTATTAAAGTCCCTTGTAAGCTACAATCAATGTCTTTTTATTCTCTATCCTTGTCGTTCCGCGTTATACAATTAAAAAAAATCTTTATGATAATATTTCTGATAATTTCCGTTTCTATTTATTAAATATAGATGTCGCTTTACTTGTGTTTTTGGTAAGACTCTTTTTACATGTCACATTTTTCTTTTTAATTTTCATTTACAGCTTTGGATCTTGTGATTCAGCCATATGTCAAATAGGAATCCCTAGTGATGTGCTTTCCAAAGTGAGCTCACCAGAGCTCAATTTTTAAGAGTCTTCAGTCTTATAAACATAAATAGGTAAATTAATTTTATGGCTCCTAATAATCACGAGGGCCACAGAATCATACATTGCTTGATGTCTTAAAGCCGTGTCTTAAGCGCGTATTTTGTCCTACACGATCAACAAAAACATGTCAACATTCAATAATATTTTTACGCAATTATGACGCTATAAGTTTATAAGTTTTGAACTTGACCAAACCTTAAACATTAAAGTCGTTGGTCAACAAGACAAAATCAAAAATGTCAAAACGTATCTCAAAGGAAGTTTCTAATTGAATTTTTAATTACAAAATAGACACGCACGAGTGATCTTAAATTGATCAATTTAAGCGTTCCGGTAATACCAATTACCATTAACTTAATTCACCTGCAATCAAATATGCTTCAGGACTAGAGAAATGTAAAATACGATGAATATATTGAAACGGAAGGAGGCTTTAGCAAAAATAGAATCAAGATGTGGTTCCATGTCTTCCAAGACGAAGAATTTTATCCAAAAGATTTGTTACAAAAAGTCTGCGTCCATAGATATGACTCGTTATGGATTTATTAGAGATAGTAAAGTAAGACCAATTAATTTGATGATGAGACCGCTAAAGGAACAACTGGAAAGGATATGGGGTTAGTAAATTTTCTTAGATTTAAGTATTTACTTAGTTACTATTACAATGTTGGTGGTTATTACGTGGCTTTTCGCTTGTCAATGATTAAAGCTTTACAATAATGTTTTAGTTTGTCAATTAAAGGTAGGTAAGGTACTATCGGCCACAGTTTAAGCTACCCATTTCCGTCATGTAATCTCGTTCTATCCGCAAAGAATCACGTGATGAGAGCGGGAGAAAAAACGGAAATGGGTAGTTGGAACTGTGGTCTACTGTACCATAAGTTAAGGTCCTTAACTTTAAAATTACCATTTCAACCCATAAAACCTGTTTTGTGTTGTTCTAATAAAATTAACAATTATTCTAGGAAAATCTACCCGAATTCCCAACATCCGGAAACAATCTCCTTCCAGACGCAACGAACGAGGTATGTTAAATTACCTTAACAGAATATAATAATTATGAAATAATTAAAATTATTTAAGATTATTTATTGTAAGTTCATGTTTCATGTATCATGTTTGTTTTCAGCTGTTTCCACAACAAAGACTGGAAAAACAGCAACAAATCAGACTAAAGCTATAAAAAAAAGCAACGAACATACTAGTAATTATTCACGAATTCACGACTTAATTAACTGTAAAGATAAAAGAAGGCTGTAATAATCCATGGTGTGTGGCTATTTTGTAACTAACGATAAAACTTTTAAAAATAAAGTAATAACGATTAGTTCATTTGAGGTATTCCTTTCTCAGACCTTGAATTTCTGTCTAAAAAACTCACTAATTGCATTTAAAACAAACTGTTACTATTGTTATTGATCTGTTTATTCATCATTACAATTACAGTTGCCGCTGATATTTCCAGTGCATCCGAATTGATTAAAAGCTGGCGGGAAGTGGCACGAACACTTCGTTTGACCTTTATCTTCTGGACATGCACATGAGGCAATGTCCTGATTTTTAACTTTAGCACGGTCGGCAGGCATTGGGTGTCCTTTAACAGGGGTTTCAATTTCAGGTGCAGGCACTTCAGGCAGTTTGAAACTTGTGCGTCTACGAACATCTATTACACTAGTGTTCTTTCCTGGGGGTGTACAGCATTTTGAAGCACTGTCTGGAGAACAGATGGGCGTTGGTGCACCAGCTTTGTCGCCAGGCATTCCAGTTCCAGCTGCAGTGGTGTTCGGTATTGGATGTGTTCCAGCGTCGATCACAGCAGCCATACTTCTAGTTTGCATCATCGCATCAGCATCTTCGCAGCATGATATAATTTTGTCGGGTGGAGTTCTACTGGGACTAGTTTTCGAAGTCTTTTCTTTAGTTCTCGTTGGGGAGCTTGGTGGAGATTTTGAAGGTGATTTCACTGGAGATCCAACTGACTGGTTAGGGGATATCGCTTTAACCGCGCAACAAGAGGACACGTCCATTAAGCTGTTGGATTGTTTGACTGTACTCAGGGGGATCCCACCAGGACAATGACCGCTAGAAGGTGTGGACTCATTCTGCTTTTCCTTGGCCAACGTTGTTCTGCTGATTGAAACCACCTTCGGCTGAGTTTTGGCAATACCACTGTGGCAACTTCCTGTGCATTGATTTCCTGCATCCTTATTTTCCTTAAGTCCAAAGGGGCAAAATTCTGGTAAGGTTTTCAAACAGTTTTCAGAGTTACTGCAGGTTTGTGAAGTACAGTAAATTTCTCTGTATGAAGCTACCTCAGAGAGGTTTTCGGAATTTGGAGTCGGCGTCCGTGAGCATGGCTGTGATGAGCATACTGTGCTACGTGATGGCTGCTTGGAAGCAGGAATATCCATGCTTTGAATACATGGTCGGTGCGATGGCTTTTCTGCTCCACATTTCTTGTCTTGACCTCGTGGCATGAGATAAAATGTGTGGTATAGATTTTTGTCTTGGTTCTATTATTATTTCATAATTTATTTATATTGGCCAACTTTTATGCATTTCATTTTATTTTATTAACCATTTCAAAGGTTTTTCAGATTCATTACAATTGTCAGCAAGTTCGCACGACATTTTTGTCATTTTGACTTCTGAACATGTCATATAAGTTTTCAATCAGAATAAAAAAAAATAAAAAACGGAGAGATGAAGGTAAGGTTTTACTTAACCAAAACTAATGTTTTGTAAAAAATGCGACTTACAATCTCAGCTGCTAATAGGTACTCGTAGTAGGTACTTATTGATAATGCCGACCTCCAGATTAGTAAACTGTCTGAGCCCCGATTACGGTAATTTTTAACGTTTCCAATCCAGACGCGCTTCTGATTCTGCGATACGATTGGTCAAAACAGCTGACGTACGCTGTTGAACGACCAATCGTATCGCAGAATCGAGAAGCGTGTCTGGATTGTAGACGTTAAAAGTTACCGTAATCGGGGCTCTGTTTTGACCAATCGTATTGCAGATTCAGAGCCCCGATTACGGTAATTTTTAACGTCAACAATCCAGACACACTTCTCGATTCTGCGATACGATTGGTCGTTCAACAGCGTACGTCAACTGTTTTGACCAATCGTATCGCAGAATCAGAAACGCGTCTGGATTGTAGACGTTATAAAAGTTACCGTAATCGGGGCTCAGAAACGCGTCTGGATTGGAAACGTTAAAAGTTACCGTAATCGGGGCTCTGGTTAGTGTGCTTTCGAATATTATGTATAGAGCGTAGAAATAGGCTCCACTAATGAACCTACTCAGTTATGCGCTATGCCTATAGGGGTTTAGTGATGCACTTATTATAGGCCAGTGAAGCCTAATACGCCATACATGTTTGTATATATTTATAATTATTAATTTTTATTATGTATTTGTATAATTTATTTTATATTAATCATTAATTTTTTTAGATGATTATTTACGAGCTCATGCCATGCATGCATTCAAACGGGAACAGCAAACAGCAAACGTCAAACGTCCACGTGATTACATAATTTCCGACATGGCGCTGGCATCGACGCCGCAGTTTCCTTTACCACTGTGCGTCAGGTGCGGTGCGGTGTGTTGAACAGTTCCGATCGGATAAAAAAACATGTAAGTATGCATTTTTAGTGTTAATTACGGTGATTTTCTATAAAAACCAAACCAAGCAATGATTAAAAATCACAATAGGTGTAGTTATGGTCGTATTGTTTCTTAATTTTGCCTTACGTAACCTAATGGAATTATGTTTGCACGTGACCTTGCCCCATTTATTAATTTTAAAAATTAAATTAAATTAAATTTTGAGTCCCTGTTTCGATGAAAATTACTTAAAAAGCAAGCGTACCATCTCTAAAGACAGGCTGATTAGTCAATTTGTGACTGCATCGATCCAGTTTTCTGCAGTATTGATTTTAAGTTGCAGTTTTGACAGGACAGTGATAATTTGTGACAATTGAACGATAAAGTTTCTGCTATTTCTAAAAGAAAACAAATGAGTGCTAGCGTAATTGACGTGGATGATTATTTTCGTGTTACCTAACCTTCATCTGCGGAATTTCAAGTCTTGACAATGGCATTGATTTTCGTCAGTACTTAGTTGAAAGGTCAGCTGAAAATAATTGAAGTGCATTGAGTGTTCCTTGCTAATTAGTTTTCTTTTGTTACTGTAAATAAGTTCAGTCAAAAGGGAGTGTCCAGATAATTACTAATTTACTGAGATGATACCAATCCATCTGAAATAGTTTTGTTTAATCAATTTGATTGTACTGAACTACAGTCGACCCTCTCTGACCCAGGATTTGTAGTTTATTGCTGTCTTTAAATTATAATTTTAAATTATTAAACATGATTGCAAAATAAGTAATAGTTTACACAAAAATAAAGAAATCAATATTCAAAATAATTCACAACTTCAACATTTTTTTACCACTCATGTAAACATTTTTAAATCTTTGTAATGCTCCAGCAAAATTTTAATATGAAGCGGTTAAAATTATTTCATAGTTCAATACAAATTTCAGAAATAGAGAATTTTAAGAAAATGAAATAAACTATCAAATCTTCCAGCTGATCTTTTATGTTAAACATTTTACTGCATTTAGGAATGGCAACACAATAGGTACAGCATTGTGGGTAAAAAACAATCTAAACTTGTTGTTCTTCTTCTCTAATGTAATTGGTTTTAAAATTAATTTAATTGATTTTTTTTTTTTCAATTATACAGGGTGTTAGGTAAATGGGTATATGAGCCGAGACCAGCCCATGTTAACATACTCATATAAATACTATAGTGGTGTCAGAAAGTCTGGGAAAGGTACCATTATTGAGTAATCAGCTGATTCAGTTTTTGTCGCCAGATTGCGTCGTGATACCCCTGAAAATTAATAGTACGACAAACTTGCGTAGATAAAACAAATAACAGAATTCATTATTATTTTCTGCCTAAAAATTTTTCTCTGAGAGGCAAAAACCTTAAGCAGTTCCCCAGGAAAATCAGTCCATCTAAAAAGATTTAGCATAAGTCAAATACTCCCTTACCTTATTTGATTCGATTTGGATAAGTAAAAGTAAACAAAGTGATCAAGAATTAATTTTACTTCATTGCCTGTAACTTACTTATTAAAATTAATTGAATAATCATTAAACTTGATAACTGATTAAGGAAAATGAGACATTGTAGGTAATCATCTAAATTTTATCATCGTAAATCACGATACCACCGAAGGGAGAGCCGGAGATCCCGTTCTTGAAAATAGGATTTCACTACAAGAACCTACCCGGTCACTTGAAAGCGTGGGAAGGTGAATAAGTGAGTGGATGGATGTGATAGATGTGTTGCGATTCGTTTTGTGAATTAGAGTGAAGTGTTACCCCCTGAATACCTTGGATTGCTTGCAGAGTCAATAAAAAGAGGTAAGTGAAGAATTGATTCAAAAGTAATAATAAAAGTGGGCGGTGCCGACACGCGTCAAAATTTGTGAATGAAATACCGTTTGACCACGTTTGACCTAGGAGGGAGTTGCGCGATCGTAGGGCTGTCCAAAAATTAAAATAATAATAATTTATTTAGTTTTGTATGGGAAAATATTTTTTATTAAATATTACGATATCCACTTTCTGACACCACTATAGTATTTATATGAGTATGTTAACATGGGCTAGTCTCGGCTCATATACCCATTTACCTAACACCCTGTAGAGAATAAGGTGGATTTTTAAAGTTGCAATATTATGAAAGGTTCTTTTTTTAAACATCAAATTATAATTAATATTGTATAATACTTATTAGTTTCGTCAACCCTAACTTTAGGCTGAATCTAATAGACTAATACCCGTTTTCACCATCAATCCCTAATTTTTAAGTGACCCCTATAGTAAAACAACAGGAATTTTGCTTTCATAGGGGTCACTTAAAAATTAGGGTTTAATTGACAAAAAATATCACTGTGTGTGTCCTGTCAAACTGCAACTAAGTAATCAATACTGCAGAAAACTGGATTGATGCAGTCACAAATCAACTAACCAGTCTGTCTTTGGAGATGGCACTCTTGCTTTTTATGTAATTGTATCTAAACGGTATTGACGGTGAAAACGGGCTCACAGACCAGCAACTCAGCGTCTAACGAACTGTTTGCCCGCAGAATAATGTTCTCCTCCCTTATGGACGCGGCGAGGAACTCGCCCTTCCGCGGGCCTCTGTCGGGCGCCCAGTGCCAGGCCCCCACTGCACCGCCACAGATCCAGCAGGTAACGTTACAATCATCAACGCTACCGTGCTAGCAATATCAGCAGTAACTCCATTTTTTTGGCAAAACTACAATGAGCTCTATCAGATGAGCTGACAAGCGTTTTTTTAACAGC